TAAGTTATGTTTTATCTTTTTTTTTATATGTATCGAACGGTTCAAAAGAAGTGTGTTCTACATAAGAAACATTGCTTTATCTTTCTAACAAAAAACGTAAAGACCAAAAAAAAAAGGTTTCAAATCTGAAATGATACATCCAATCTGAGTTTACAAACAAGAGAATATTTTTTAGAAAAGTAAGTAGAAGTGTTGATTTTCTTGAGCAAACTCAAATAAATAGAACAACTCAAACATTTTTTCTCATTGCTCACATGCAAAAGTCATAAGAGATAGGGAATGTTAATGCAGTCATCTTTCGAATAACATAGGTAACTGGATAATATGATTTCAACTTAATTGTCAAAGTTTTTGTAGCTATTTTGAAATGGTATTATATTCCAGGTCGAGAAGTACTGGTGGGTTCCTGCAGGAGAACACCGAAAGTCTCCAGAACAAAGTGACAGTATTCCGGTCGGAAAATTTTCGGGTTTTTTCCGACCGGAGTACTGTCACCCTGCTCCAGTGACTTCCGGTGTTTTCCCTCAGGATACGATGAATTTTCCTGCAAGATCCTGCGGAATCCGGTGATCAGAATCTTCGACCTGGAATGATGTGAATATACTCATAGATCGAGGTGCTTCTAAAAAATAAATTGAGTCGCAAATGATTGTGCAGTAAACAGCTATTTCCTTTATACTAAATACAAATTGTCACAATACCTATGAAAAAAAGGATGAAAAAGAACGAAATAAAAACGCTTTTTTTCCTTGAGAACGCGTCTTTTTCAAAAATAACTGCGTTTCTCTCTGCTAGGAAATTGTTTAGAAAAAAATCTTGGTTAGACAACAACGACACGTTTAAAAAAGACGCTAAAAATATTTTCGGAACATCTCGCATTCATGGCCGTTCTTTTTTGTAAATCTTCTCATCAACAGTTTTTATTACCCTATTTCTAACTTTCTAATTTGCAAGTAGAAAGACCATTAAAAGTTGTTCATGCAATGAATATTTCGGACTGATTTGATGCCGTAATGAAGAGATATGCATATGTGACTTTTCACATATTTTGGCATTTCAAGCACCTCCTATGGCAAAAAGTTCATAAAAAGTACGTCCATGAACGTGTTCTTAAAATGCAACGTATCCTGGAAACGCTTTTAGTATTCTGGTGGATTGTGTTTTTCTTGCCTAAAGATGACTCTTTTTCTGAGTGCATTCCTGGCAGAGAAAAACGCAGTTTTTTTTTTGGGAGAAAAAAAGCATTTTCTCAAGGAAAAAAGTTCGAAAGGAACTCTAAAAGCGTCGTACTAACGCGTTTTTATCCGTTCTTTTTCAGCTTTTTCCATGAGTATTGTATCTAAATTTTTACCATATGTTAAATTTCTTATAGCCATAGTACTTTCTAGGTACATCAGGAAGTTCTTGATGCTCATATGCTAATATCACCAATTAAACATTCACAATTACGTGATGATTTCATTTCGTTTTTTGAAAATCAATCATCAACAAGTTGCCTACAATCATTATCTACATCTTCTCTTACAATATTCATAGCATAAAATTCATATATTAAATTATTAGAAAATGAAATTGTTAAACTAACTCAGATAATTGAAGAATTACATTTACAACATAAACTTCTTTACTCTATGACTATAAAATTTGAACAAGCGCTAGGACATTTACGTGAAAAAGTTAATGTAGAATCATCTAGAGATAAATTATACCATTTATGAAAACAAATATGTATTATCAAACTTATTTAATCCTGATAATAAAACATATTTATAGTATTTTGCTAACCTTCAACAATTCTGTCAAAATCTAACACAAGCTCTTGTAACAGATATATGATGTCTTCCTTATATATATCGAAATATGGATTTAAAATTATATTTAAGTTATATTTAAATGGCGATCCAATCACACGAAATACTCGTTTACGTTTCGATATGACGTAAGAAAAGTTAGCAACGGATTTGATTATTTTCTATTGATATTCGCTCCTGTATCTGTGTTGATCTTAAAGTTGGTGGTGCTGAGAGCAGAATTTAATTCTCCATCGAATGATGATATTTTCGAGCGGATTTATTTAGCAAAAATTAGGATTCAAGTCCAAAACTCAGAATTATCGGGTCATTGTGCTGGTATTACTAGGTTTGGATGAGTGGCTAGAGGGTGTGGATGTGAATGTAGATATGATGAGAAAATAAATATAAGCGCATCCACACTCCACACCCACATTCTTCTTTTTTTGTGGAAAGATGTGCAGAAACTAAACGTTCATTTGTACACAAACAAAAATCACGTTGAAAATTTCAATTAACATTACAAAAATCAACAAAAAAGGTGATTTTATGATTTTTTGGCGAGTTCATCAAGCTTGCTCAATAGTTTCTCTTCTGTTGGTTTCACTAAGCAGTCAGATTCATCGCCATTGTGGTAAAAAACAATTGTCGGCACTTGTTTAATATTAAATGCAACAGCAAGTTTATCATTAGTTTGTAAAACAGGGCATTTAAAGAACTCAGTGCCGAACGACTCTTCATACTTGTAACGTGAGTGGTTGAGTGGATATTCGATAGAATCTCGTCGAACTTCACTGTACAAATTGTTTGTTAAAAATATACTCAATAATAATGACTAAACATATGACGCTTACTTCAAATTAAACAAAATCACGATGAGTTTATCTTTGTATTGTGCAACTCGTCCGTTAACTGCTTATATTGATTCAAGCAACGCCCAAGGTCGCTGCATTTTTTCATACTCTGTCATTTTTGCCATGAAGCTTGTTCGGTAGATATGTCAATGGTAAAAAAATGATGACTGAAATGAAAGTTGTTGAAAGAAAAAAATAGAAGGTTGCCATCGGAGAGAAAAAAAAGATTTCATCGTAACAGGCGCTATTATGGTTACCAATGTTTATTCAAGTGAAGCATAGAAAAAAAAGAGAAGGAAAAAATACATATAAAGCAGAAAGTTGCACAATATTGATTACCTAATAAGACTTTCGATCAGTTTTTACTATTGTTTAACGAGTATCTCAATAAAAGTATTTTTACTTTATATATGTTTTTGCTTTTGATATTACATTAATATAGATTTCTTTTTTTTTGTAGATTATTCTCATAATGAGTAATAATCATTCAGAAAAAAAACCAGAGAATCCTTCTTGGATTGAACTTGTGCGTCAAGCAGTTAATGAGGAAAAATTGCTTGGCATCACGTGTCACGTGCATTCCAGAGCACAAGCCACTGAAGAATCCAAGAATTCACAGCGGTGTTTGTGTGGTCGTTTCAAACGGCAACATAGTTTCAATGGGGAAGCACAAATCGATCTATTCTCTACGAGCAAATATTGGGACAGATTTGAGCATGCTACTGAAGCACCAGTGACTGTGTATGGAATATGGCAGAACAAGACAAAGGTACGTTGAAAAACTATAGAATCATACATTTTCTAATTACTTGTAAACCAGTTTATTAGATGGGATCACCAACGAGTCAAACCGCTTCCGGCTACAACAACCAGCGACAACCAAAAACCAAAGTATGCTTTTTATCTCACTGATATTGAGATTTCATAATAGAGTCAAAAGCAAGTCTACGATTTTTTCGTTTTACTTTTCGAAAAATAAAAAAAACAATCATAATTTTAAAAGAAAAAACAGAACTTCCACTATGATGGATTCAATACTTAATACAACTTTATCAGAAATTATAAACGATCATTTGCAAGTCTCAGTCGACATAGTGTATCGATTTTTCACAATATTGTTTATCTCCCTGTAAATAAGAAACTAAGGGATTCTACCATTTTTTAATAGCCATGTGCAACATTTCGACTTGGGTGTAAACAGAAATATAAAAAACATACCAAGCTAAGTTTTTCTTTTTTTTTTGACGCTGAGCTAAGCAATCGTGCTATAGATGGACAGAATTATTTTCTGTATAAATAGAAACATGATGTTTATTGTTAAGATATTCTGCTGAATACTAACCATTTTGAAACTTTAAGAAAAAAGATTTTAGTCCAATGACGTCGAAAGTGAAAAGTAAAACGCGATGAACATACTGATCTTCATGCAGTTTACATTTATAACATGAGAACTGAGCCATAATGTCTTGAAGAGTGGGTGGGTGTGAGTGTACTTATTATCTATAATCATACATACATCCATACTAATTGAGAGTGAGACAAATATGTCTTCCAACTTTTCATAAGAACGCACAAGGATAAATTCTTGTCACATTATTTGTAAGGGATAAGTAGATAATATGGAATCATTCTGATACTTGATCTGACCCTGTTTTATTTTTTGGCACATCCTCTACGTCACAGAGTTCTCGCCTCACACTTTCACGATGCTTCGATGGTTAAGTCCACTGTCATTCGAAAGAAGAATATCGAACGATAGATAAGTCGAGGAATACAACATTACAGCTAAAATATGAGAAACTAAGAATGTCAAAAATAGAAATATAAAAACGCAACATATATATCGGTAAAATGTCGAACGGATGTGTGGATGTGAGTTTGGATATAGGTGTTCTTCAATCTATCCACAGCCACACCGCATCCACATCTACACACATTTCATCGTCACACTTATATCCATACCTACGCCATACCCACAATCACACTAACACACAGACTCTGAATACTAAGTACTTTCAAACTTTAAAAGAAAATAATTATCGTGAATTTTTCCTATTCTTAACAAAAAAAGTTCCCTCATGAAAGAAGTTTTTTCGCTTAAGTTTGTGATATAAATGCAGCTAATTTTTATTTCTGCGACGGCGAAAGAAATTATGTTACTAGTAGACGTATCGTTTCTCAAATATAGCGTGGTAAAGATTCATCTAATTCTCGTTCTTTTACATCTAGAACAAGTCTTTCCACGATGGCTAAGATAATAATCGATGATGCGGGTGGTAAGAAACCTAATTTCCTCATCAGTTGTTATGGTGGAGCTAAATATTTCAAAATGAACGATAAATTGGAAAACGAATTCATGGATGGCATTGGTCAGGCAGCTGCTACAGAAGGTAAATCAATATTGTTGACTACTGTAGATTTTTCTTGATAATGTATTTCACTATTGCATAAATATCTCGAGAAACCCAACCATTACTGAGCATGCCTTGCCTCGTTTCGTATCTAATGCGATAGAGTATCGAATTAGATTTCACGCACAGCATCTGAAAAACATCAACAATCTCCACATTTTCCAATCATACTTTTATTCTAAACATGCTTTTTGTAACTGTAAGTCTCTACTATTAAAAAAAAACGCAAGAAGCTTATTATTCGACATACTTACGCACTTCTTCACTATCACTGGCTAAATCATATGAGAATGTAGGGCCTCTGTATACATGCTTTTTCTAATGTTATTTGTTTGCCTCTATGAATTAGTTCCAGCTTAACAATATAGATACTGTTTGGTGGAATTCTATCTTTCAGTCAGTTCTTAGTAGAGTGGAATTTTTGGTTTGTGCTAAAATAGTGAAATGTTTTGAAAATTGAGTTAACTTGAATGAATGGCATGTGATTTGTGATTATTCTATCAGTAGAAAAGAGAATAAACATAATCATGCGTTGGTATGATCAAAACTTAATTTTTTCAATCCGATTTGAAGTTGTAAAATAGATTGTTTCAAACTTAGAAGTCATAATGAATACCATGAAAATTTGCAAGTAACCTATATGAATTAAATGAGTTTGATTTTAACTTTGTTTATTCCCATCATAATTTAGCCTAAACACATAGGTTCGGTCATTAAGTAGAACTATGAAGCTGTAGTGTGTTTGTTGTTTCATACAATAAAAGTGTGGGTTACATATATCTAGAATTGTCGATCGAGTTTCGAAAGTCATTGAACCTATACAAATATAATTTCTCTGCTGTCAGAAAAGAAAACTAATACGACGTTGATTAATGTTTCTAACTTCCTACTAAATAAGAGAGCGTTAGATTTTTTATTCGTACACCAATATTAAATATTTTTACATTTCAAGGAGTGTGGCTTTTGAGCACGGGTTTGAATAGTGGTGTGTCGAAAGTGATTGGTCAAAGCGTTGGACGCTATACTTTACTGAATGAAAAACCTCCGAATCATACTCTTATTGGGCTCAGTAGTTGGGGTTGTTTATCGGACAGAACGCAACAAATACTCAGAAAACAGGTATAGGTCGCTAGATAAATTTCATAGTTTAACTGATAGCTTATCATTCTTTTATAGGCAAAATTAGACTCAAATGCAGATAGAGCGAGCCACGACAGTGTTCCTATAACTCTCGCACCTTTATTGACAAGATATCGAAGCGATGTCTATAGTGTTTCTGCATGGTCTACATTAGACGAAAACCAACCTGATACATTTGAGAGTAATCACACGCATTTGCTTCTGTTCGACGATGGCAGTCAGGGAAAGCGTAAGACAGAAACAACGACTGATCCGTTCTATATTGATGATGTACCTCGCTTGACATTGGTTGATGAATTAATCACATTAACTGGTTGTCATGCGGTGACGATCATTATTGAGGGAGGTTTAAATTCTTTGAGTGTCATTGAAAACGATCTTCTTGCTAAACGTCCAGTAGTGATTATTCACGGTAGTGGTCGTTTGGCTACTGCAATTGGTAATTTGTTGGAGTTGACACGTGATCAAACTACTATTGGGTATAGAAATTAATAAGCATATGTAGTAAAAATGTTTTTTCAATTCGAATTTTAGAACAAATGAAATTAAGCAACAATTGGAAAAAGTCGTCGTATCACATCGTACAAAAGAACTCTCAGATGTACAGTTACAACAAATTCAATTTATTTTGATGCCCGAGAATCGACCGTATTTGAGTGTATTTCGGCTTGATGACAATGCAAGTCTCACTGATACTATTTTCTTAGCTGTTTTTAAAGGTTATTATTTCGAGAAAGTTGAGTTCAAATCTATAAATATTTCTTGATTTTTAGCTCAAATGCATCGTGAAAATAAAGAAACAACACATAATAACCCAGATCAACGCTCCGCTCGCGTTAAGAATATGCTGGATTTAGCTGTTTTGTGGAACTATGTTAATGGTATTAATGATGTGCTTGAAAACAAAGAGGTATCCACCATTTTACATTGTTTAGTCTTAATCAGTATGATTTTATCAATATATACAGACCATTAATTACGATCGAACATGGGACACAGATTTGTTTGAAAAAGCCTTGATGACCAACCGACCAGCATTTGTCGATTATTTTCTTCGAAGACAATATGATGTGCTCGAAACAAAGGAGTATATCGAGTTTATCGATCGCGGTGAACGTATTCCACAGATCTGTGCTGCACTTCGTGCTATGATTTTATCGTCACTACGGACTGACATGGATTCAGTAACGACTGAGATGAATAATAATGAAGATGAAATTTCAACTAGTGATGTAGCTGAAAATGAAGTCGATACTGCAAATGTGCGTGCTGCATTTGGTCGCAAATTTGTCATTGAAAAGCTGTATGCAAATCGAATCGATCATCTTAAGGTAGTATTGTTTATTTGAGTCGTAGTGCATTCACATCGACTATCCCGATGAAGATAATTCACTTAAATTTGAGGCAATCAATGATACAGCTTTTTCAACAATTTACATTGACGTAGTTCTAACAAAAGGTAGATGAGTGGAGCATTATTTTATTTGATCTCTTTGCTTCAAAGAAAAAAATAAGGGTGCAGGTGTGGGTGAGGATGGATGTGAAGCGAAAAATCAATATAGACACTCACATCCACATCCACATCCACACTCCATACCCATACTCGACACAGGAAGGCACTACAGTCTGTGATGCATGTTCTTTCAAACAAATAAAAACCAAAGATAAACTGGGAGTCGGAAGAGTGAAATTCGGTTTACTCATTGAGCAATTTTTTTTGCTTGTCTGGTGAATTTCTCTGTCAAACGTCACGGTATAGAGCTAAAGATTTTACCGTAATTGCTCCATCACAAGCCAAAGTTCTCTTCCAAATTTCAGGCCATTTCAATATATCTAGTGTGAAATAGGCTGATGACGGGAGGAATACCTCGACTGAGTTACGGATTGATTTAAATGAACTGATATCTCCTTGAGTACACGCCAATTGAAACCTTCTTGATTTCAAATAGGCTATGTGAAACATGAAATCATTTGTTGAAATAAGCTGGAAGACTGAACATATATTTCCATATGTGTTTGTATCCTACAATGATTCTCGTTAAGAAAACTAATTTCTTGTACAAAAAAAAAACTAAGGCTTTCTGTTTGAAATACAGATATATATATATATATATATATATCGATTTTTTCCGTTTTAGAATTCTGATCAAGTACGCTCACTCACTGATCTCGACAATCTATATTATCATCTGATTGGACCGTATGCCGAATCATTTTTTCACAGACGAAGAACAAAAGACCGTATTAAAAAAGATCTACATGACAAACTTTGGTTTTTCTGGGCATGTTTTCAACCTCGCATGAAAAACACAAAAGTATTCCCCAGCAAGCCAACAGAAAAACCAAGTCTGAGTCAAATACATCCAGAAGACTCATGTGTAACACACGCCGTCGTAGCAATTGCTGGAATAGATCCAATTCAAGAACAACTTGAACACTATGCCGCTGTTAAGACGTTTAGTAATCAGGAGATGTTGCGTGATATCTTTCTGTGGGCTGTCATTGCGGGACACGCCGAAATGGCTTTTGTATTATTGCTTCAGCTTAAATCTCGGATAGCTGTAGCTCTTGTGGCTGCTGGCATCACTCGTCAATTGATGTCCACTACACCTGAATATTTAGATCAATTACACAAGTTCCAAAAACAATCTAAAGACTATGAACAATTTGCTACAGCATGCATTGATGCTTGCTACCAACGAAGTGAAAGATACGCTTGTCAACTACTTTTACGAGAAATTCCATTCCTTGGAAATATAACTTGCATGCAAGTAAGTTCCTACTAATTTAGATCTCAGTTGTTAGTTTAAATAAAGATTTTAGGTAGCTATTTCGTTTCGTATCAAATCATTTATTAATAGTCGTTGCTTTAATCAAGTACTTAATCGACAATGGTATGGAGTATTAGATCAAATGATTGATAGATCCTTGCTGTCCCAGCTACTGTTTACAATAAGTCTTCTATCAATTGGCTTATTAGCTCCACTATTGCTTACCTATCGAAATGATGACATAGATAAGAATAAACAAGAAAAAGTAGATTATCAGTACTATAGATTTATTTTGATTCCGTTATTATTCTTTTAGTTTAATGTTTCCCATGAAGAGAGACGAACATCTTCTGAACACGGGTAAGATATTACTGATGAGTCAAGACTGATTTTTATCGAACTGAATATCTTAGATGGGAAGGTATTGAAGACCAAGACGGTACAAATATGAATTATTTTCAAAAATTGCGACAATTTCATCGAACTCCTCTTGTCAGAATATGCTATCATTTTGTGCGTCGTTTTTTTTTAATACACAAGATATTTTCATTTGGATTGTTACCATTTTTAGTTGATCTATATTTGGATGTTACTAGCCTTTAGTTACATGATGCTGTTTGAACTGAAATCTAAAAATACAGCTACACACTGGACAGAAATTTATGTGATTATCACCATTTCTGCAATGTTGATTGAAGATATCCGAAAAGTAAGTTGCTTGGATACATAAGAAAACAAATTATTGTTTAAAACAGCATTTGATCGAATATCATACACAAATGTTGGAACGATGGCACAAATCTGACGTCTCGATGATAGGTCTATATGCACTGCCTTACATTCTATTTTACATTGGCATTGGACTACATTTTGGTTCGAGAGCTCGACCGGACTTATTTACGGCCGCTAGGTACGTACATAAATAACTATTAGACAAATGAAATACAACTGAATCGACTTCTAGAATCGTGTTAGCAGTGAATCTCGAAATGTGGTTTCTTTTTTCATTGCGCTTCGTAAGTGCTATAAAACTTCTGGGACCAAAATTATTCATGATACGAAACATGGTAAGTGAAGAAATCAAAGTATTGACGAGCAACTTGAAAGTTTTTCAGAGGAATATTATTTTCAATACTCGCATATATTGAAGTTTGGTGCGTATTACGTTCCAATATACTACAGGACTACACTGTAAGATAGATTTACAGTACAATATATGCGGAAGAGACACAAATATATATATATATAGATATGTAAACGTATAAAATCTCGTTCTCTTATTTATTGTTCGTTTTAGTTACGAGATTTAGTCGGCTTTGTCTATATCATTTTTGTATGCATCGCCGCATATGGAATTGTATCGAGATCACTCACAATGTATTCAAAACTTGAATTCAGCGCGAAAAATCTCTCGACTGCCATCTTATATCGGCCTTATTGGTTTCTCTACTCGATTGTGGACGATGAGAAAAAAGATTTCGATGGTGAGCAGTTTTTCATAGTTATCAAAGATCTATAGAATTTTTTGTTATCTAGCAATTATTGTATCGGAATCTAGCACGGCAGATGAAGTTGCTCAGGCAACAACAAATCATATACTACTTGCTTTCCACATGCTTTTTATAAATATTCTTATTCTCAATCTATTAATTGCCGTCTTCAAGTGAGTAAATAGAGGAATACAAAGAGCGAAATTGTTTCATTTATTCATTTAGCTTTACTATCAACGACCTTCAAGCCAAATCAGAATATCTTTGGCGTTACCAACGATATGAATTAATCCGCGAATATTTCGAAAAGCCTCTTTTTGCTTATCCACCTCTGTCGTTACTAGGCTATATATGTCCATTGGTGAAATGGATCTTCCAATTAAAAGGTGTTTTACGAGTTTTTAGTAAGTGTTAATGATAAAAGAACCTTGACAATTACGATCTCTCTTAGTACAAAGATAACCACATTTCGAAAAATTTCTTTTATTCAAAAGTATTTTTGGAAATTGATGCTACGTCCTTTTGTCTAGAACGATACGGTACACAACAGATGAATGCAGAATGGACTGATTTTGAGAATGCAGCGACCTACAATCACACACGTACTTTCGTCGATCGAATGTATTATGATAATTCAAACCTTAGGATTCCTACGTATAAATGAATGACTCTTTGCTTTTTTTCCCGATTGATTTTTTTCCTTGTCCCATGTAGGTTTTCGGAAACAGACGAATTGAAAGCAGAAATCGAAGCTTTAAAACGTAAAAGCAATCAAATGTATACTACCATTGATACCATGAATGCTCAATCAAAGCGAGTATGCTTCGAAACATATTGATATATTTTTTGATAACGATGATTCTTTCGAAGATGATTCCTGCAACGAATTGGATGATGAAAGCTATGGATCGAGTGAAAATGTCATCACAACGACCGCCACCATTTGTATTTTCATCAAGTTCTGAAGCTTGAAGTTGAATAGAATGCATATTTCATCCATGTTGATTATCGTCTGAAATTAAGTTCTCAATAGATATTCGTTGTGATCGAATTGAAGTTTGTGAAACTTATTATTTATTTTTTTTTGTCTTCTTTTACTCACAAACATGATGATTAATTAGTTGAAATTGAACGCTCTTAATTTTGTTTTGTTGGTGTTCGATTTGAAAATATAGAAACAATAAAACATAAAGATTAAAAAAAGAGGAAAACTTAAAAAAATATAACTGTTCATTTACTATGTTTGTTTCTCTACATGTCATCTGATGTCAACATGAGGCATCACGTACCAGGGCTTCAGATTGGATGGACTAGAACTAGCGTGGCTCATGACATCGATATCAACTAAAAGTTGTTTTTGAAATAGATCTCGGGCGAAGACATTACCTATAATCCACATTCTCATTTTATTCTTTTTTAGTCGTTCATTGGTTTAGGCTTCTTAGCCATACTAAATAAAAAAGATAATGAACAACAGTTGCAACTAAATACGCTTAGCTCTTTATAAAGAAATCACAGTGAATTGCTACTTCATTTACAGCAAAGCTTACTTCTTCTCCTCAAACAGCGCCTACAATTACACAATCTTCTGTCATTTGTTCTAGTTTGAATGCAAGTAAAATTCCACAAATATCTTTTTCTACGATTACTTGTCCTTGATTTAGTCAAAGTATCATCTTCTGTAGCTGAATACACATCAGAACGAATAAAACTGCTGTTGTAACAATATCTAGCAGTTCATAAAGTTATCAAAAAAGAAGGAACAAGTTTGTCGTTATCATCTTGGGTGCGTATGACTGTGAATGTGGGTATAACGAGGAGATAAATGTAAGGGCACCGACAAATCTTCACCCCCACTCACATCTCCACTCTACAACAACCAAAAATCAAAGTATACTTTTTATCTCACTGATATTAAGATTTCATAATAGAGTCAAAGGCAAGTCTACGATTGTTTCATTTTACTTTTCGAAAAATAAAAAAACAATCATAATTTAAAAAAAAAACAGAACTTCCACTATGATGGATTTAATATTTTATACAACTTTATCAGAAATTATAAACGATCATTTGCAAATCTCAGTCGACATAGTGTATCGATTTTCCACAATATTGTTTATCTTCCTGTAAATAAGAAACTAAGTGAGTCTACCATTTTTTTACAGTCATATGCAACGTTTCGACTTGGGTGTAGACAGAAACATAGAAAACATACCAAGCTAAGTTTTTCTTTTTTTTTATGCTGAGCTAAGCAATCGTGCTATAGATAGACAGAATTATTTTCTGTATAAATAGAAACATGACGTTTATTGTTAAGAGATTCTGCTGAATACTAACCATTTTGAAATTTTAAGAAAAAAAGCTTTTAGCGCAATGACGTCGAAACTGAAAAGTGAGACACGATGAATCTATTGATTCTCAGGGTGGATGTGTATCTGCTTGTATTTATCTTCTCATCATACCCACAGTCACACTAAGGATTACTAACTCAATAGCTCAAATATTCCGGTTTTCGGACCCTAACTCCCAATTTTCACTCGATGATCCCGCTTGAAAATATCATCATTCAATAGAAACTTAAACTCTGCACTCAACACAACTAACTGCAAAGCCAGCATAGGTGCAGAAACAAATGTCAGCAAGAATTACTTCAATTCGCTGCCAACTTCTCTGACATTTAGATATGACTATAATGCATAGTAATAATGGTTCATTAGTTAAATGACCATAGTGTTGTCGAATAGTATGATGTTTATTTGATACATGTTGCAAAAATGACTATGTGATCCATATATTAACACTAAATGCTAATAGTCAAGATTTTCAACAACTACAAACTGATAACAATATAAGTTTTACAGTATCCAAGTGTTGTCCAATATGGAAATTGTTTAATAAAGAATTGTAATTATAGTGATTATGATGAATTATCAATTTTGACATAAGTGGATATTAATAATGATAAAGCAACCATTTGATAATAAGATTATTAATATAGTTATTGTTCAATAACATGAACTTCTAGGTTTATAATTAATTTGAAATATTATTTTTCTTTTCATTGATTCATTTTTTTTTATATCAAGTAAAAAAAATTCACCAATAAACAATGTTGCCAATGACTTTATTAGAAATAAGTGAATGTACAGATATTTCTATTCATCAGCCATTAGTGATTAAATTGGCTGCAATAAATTGTCATAAGTAATAATATAAACTTCTCATTCAAATAATATTAAAATCATTGATATACATAAAGTGACATATTTTAATAAAAAAAAAAAAACTTAAATATATTTACACAATATTGATAAATATCATAAAAAGAAATATGAAATCATTGTTAATAGTGTATGAAAATGATAAAGAATGTGTAAATGATTGATTGAAAGATGATGACTTGATAGTTTTTCATCGTTTCATCATTCGGATACGGGTAGAAGACGACCCACAGTTCGACAAAACTATTAATTTTGTTTTATAAACTGATTTCTCTTATGAGAACAAAAATTTAGAATATAAGCACATACTCACTTGGATAACTATGAATATTTTTCCAAAATTTTAAAAAACTCTTAAAACAATAGATTGAAAAACACAAACGACATTTTTTTTAACCATTGCATCCAATGATTCCTTTGGTTTTCTTTTAAATAGCCAAAATGATCATAATTTTCACTCGGATTTCTTCAAGATATTACTATTTTTGTCTTTTAAATTAAAAATCCAAATATCTGACAGAGCCTAATCGAGCTTAATTTTTCACTAAAAAAATTTAGGTAAAATTGATTTTGAGAAAAAGCTAGAACGAAATTGAATTTCAATTTTCTACTAAACACTCATCATTTTTAGACATAGAAGATGAAACATAGCAAAGAACTGTTGATTGATATGCAAATGACTGATGAACAAATGTAAAACATGCAGAACTCTTTTCGAATCACTTATATCGATGTTATCTCTAATCAAATCGATCAGATATCTCAAACGATGCTATCCTAGCACATCTAACTCCAACTTGAAATGCGAAGACAAATTACTTTGAAAAAAAAAGGATCAGAAACGGAGATGACACCTTTAAACTAAACATCAGTATTAAATTCTCAGTTCAATAGTATAAGATCCGATTTTAAATCAGATAAACCAAGTTTTGAAAAATATATTGTATTCCGCAATGCATTTAACAATAACAACAGCCGTTAATTCGTAGCCTTTTTCTTTTGAACAACAATAAGAGAAATCTTGACATGCCAATAAATACTAAGAACACTAAGTTCTCTATTAGTTAGTATTTAGTTCTAGTTCTAATGTGCAAAGACTTTTAAAATGTCAGCATGATGTCTCAAAAAAAAACAAGAAACAAGGTTTCGCAAATGAATTTTTGAATAAATGTATTTCTATTCAAATTTATATTGACACGTGAAGCCTCTCAATTGATTAATCACTTTTGAATCGAGACTATGTCTATCATGTAGATCCTTATCAACAATAAATACTCTAAAAAGAACTGGATCCTTTAATTTCTTATTACAGAGATATTGCATCTTTACTAATTACCGTGATTTACCTCATGAAAACCAGAAACATTGATTTTCGTATTTCGAACGTTCTAAAATAAGACCATTAAATCTAACAGTGTATATGAAAGATGTAAAAGACATGCTTTTACTATATCTGTATCTTAATCGCATAGGGCCAACGAGATGATCTCAAACTTTCACAATAAACTATTCTCGTTAAAGTCTATCTCAATGTAAAATTTCAAATCAAAATTCGTATATTATTTTTACTAGTCTTTATATGGCTAAGTAAGACATTGAAAAACAAAAAAATGAATAGTTTGTTAGTTTAATAAATTCTCTGTTAAATGAATATAGGATGCTTTACTATCTAAGCTATTAAATAGTATGATTCTTGCACAATATTTCTTAGTAAGGTTTTCTATTCAAATAATGTTCAATGAACGAGAAATTGAAATGAAATGTCCTTCATACTAAATTACGAAAGAAATTCTCTTTGAAGTTTTATCCTTTTTTATTACTAATAAAATGTTTCTATACGTTAAGTACCACTTGTAAAAGAATACATTATTTATGTCACGATGTGCCAATACTAACATTAACAAAAAAAAAAAAAGGACAAGGACATTAAAAGTTTATCGTTATGAATAGAAGATTTATCAAATGAATAAAAAATAATCTAAGTTTCTTTTTTATAGATCATAATTTTTATCGAAATAGATTTTCATATTATACATATTTATATCAAAAGCAAATATTTCACTTCATCAATCAATATTCAATAGAGCAATTCTATGTTCAACTAGTTTCTTTTACTAAATCGATAGAATTATTTGTATTCAAATTGAATTGATTGTTCACGATTGATTTCACTTTTTTATGTTTATCAAATAGAAAAAGAAGAAAAAAAAAAGAAAGCACTCATTCATTGATTATAAATTTAGATAATCAATTGTAATCATTATTTTAAAAATTCATTCATGAATATCATATTAATATTCGTTTTTTATTTTCATTTCTTAGTAAAATAAAAAAAAGAATCATCAGGTGTCAAATTTATTCTTTCGTCTAATCTTTCTTTTTTTTCTTATTCTTATTAGCAAACATTGTATTGAACAAGTAAATAGAAACCTAACTAATGATCTCAAAACGAAATGGTATGGATTAGTTAGAAAAGGAGAAGTTAAACTTTCTCAACATATATGATTAAGTCACTTGAATAACAGATTAGAGAATAAACATAAGAATTTTTTTTCTTTTTCTTATTGAAAAATTGTTTATATATTTCCGTATTGACATAAGCGACCAGTGTATAAAAAAAAATAATGAGAGAAGTATCAATGTAATACCCCTAGAGGCTTTCAAAGAAGAAGAAGAAATAATAATAATAATCATAATAATCAATCATCTTCATTCATGATTACTAACAGTCGTCAATTCTCTCTATCTATACTCTTCAAACCAATTACAGCAGCCTGAAGCTGTATGTCCAAATGCAATTTGATTACAGCCATACATACATATCGTCACGTTCTCTGTCTCGCATCATCATCTTCATTTTATTTCTTTTCTCTTTTTTTTTTTTTTTGCAAGATCATCGACCATTGAATAGACCCGTAATTGGTGAGACGTTGAGCTCATGAGTATGGACAGGCAAACAACACATACATGCATGTGTGTGTGTGTGTGCGTCCGGGCTTTATGATTATTCTATTATTCTTGTTCGTCATTGAAGAAGAAGAAGCTAAAAAACTAGAGAACTGTAATTTCTTTGTCGATGCTAAATAAGTCGCTTCCGCTGCTATCCGTCTTCGATGCTTACTTCCGTTCAACTCGTCTTCTTCATCTTCTCTTTTTCTTTTCTTAACAACGAATTATAGTTTTCTTTTTTTTTTTTTTTTTTCAATGAAAAGTATTTGTAAAAAAGTTCAATTCAATAATACAAAGCAAAAAAAAAAGAAAGAAATTTAATTGATAAAAAAAAGAGACAAGAAAATTATTATTATTATTATAGTTCCAACAAGAATAAGAATAAAAGATTAATAAAAATGAGTAATGTCTAATCGATATTATCATAAAAAAGAAGTTTCTTATTCATAGAAAGAAGAAATTGTAAATTTTTTATTCCGCTATTATATTTAGGTAATCGAAACAAGCTAACGATCAATATATGCATTCGATTACTACTCTCGATTCTATTTTTCTTATGCACTTATTCAAGAGTACGGTTGATGTAAACCTTCATTATATCAAATACTCTGAATTGTTCTTTTCTTTTTTTCTCTTTTTTTTTGCTTATTCAAAGACCAATAGACACATATTGTAATCGTTTTGTTGTTGGGCATTACTACTTTTTTTTTTTTCTCTTCCGAACAAGAGAATAGAATAAAAGAAAAAGAAAGGGAATAAGCAAAAAAGAAGCGCTATGAATGGCCAATGACGATTTTTAATTTTCTTTTTTTTTCTTTTTCTCTTGTTCGTTTGTATTCTTCAATTTTCATTGGAGGGAAAAAAAAATAGTTCGTCGATGTTGTTATTATTATTCTTATTGTTATTATTATTATTGCTTGCTCATTCTCTCTTCCACTTGGCTGTCTCTATTTGAATAACACTTTTTAAGCGTTGACGAGAAAAGACAAGAAAAAGGTCTCCTCTTCTTCTATTAGTGTGCACAGCACATAGTTCAAGTCATTATGTTTCGCTTTGTATATACAGAGAGAGAGAGAGAATGGGAGAGAGAGAGAGAGAGGGAGAGGGAGAGGGAGAGAAAACAATTTTTTTTTCTTCGCTTGTCGTATAATATAATAGGTTTTTTCATTTCAATGCTTTTATTGTATATGAGATAAGCAATAAAGATTCTTGGATATTTTAAGCATGATGTGTAAGTATTATAATATTTTCACAAGAAAGAATAAAAATAAAAGATTAGAAAACAATATTGTTATTGTTTGTTTCTTGTTTTTTTTTTTCTATGTCTTTTAGCTAATCTATTTCATTCTCATCCTGTTATAAATATGGTAAATAAAACATCAAATACAAATTCATCATTAAATGAACATATAAAACGTCCTATGAATGCATTTATGGTTTGGTCACGTGGACAACGACGTAAAATGGCTCAAGAAAATCCTAAAATGCATAATAGTGAAATAAGTCGTCGTTTAGGTATTGATTGGAAATTATTAGATGATGAACAAAAACGACCATTTATTGATGAAGCTAAACGTTTACGTTCATTACATATGAAAGAACATCCAGATTATAAATATCGTCCACGACGTAAACCAAAATCTTTAATAAAAAAAGAACCATATCCATTTTCATTTGCATCATTAACAACAACAAAAGATTCAAATGATTTATCAAATTCTACAAATATTCAACAACAAATAAATGAATCATTAGCACTTAATCTTGAAAAATGTCGTTCAATATTATCATCTCAAACAGCAACAACACCATCATCACTTTATCCATATACAACTGGAAAATTAACTGATTTTTCAGCAGCGGCAACATTTGCTTATAATCCACTTGCATATGCAGCTGCATTATCAACACATTATCCATATAGTAGTATGTTATCAGCTAGTTTAGCTGCATCTGCTGTAACAACATCACCATCATCAAGTATATCATCAAATAATTCTATTAATGATTATCATTTTGGTCTTCATCGACCACAAGCACTTTTACCAACAAAATTATCATCAGACACAAATAATAATTTTCAACATAATACACTTAAACATTTTTAAGTAATCATTTTTTTTTTCTTCTTCTTTTCTATACATATATATATATATATATATATATATATATATATGCTAAAATTAAAAAAAAAAGACTGAGATTGATATATGTTTAAAAATTATTTATCTCTTATAGTTTATTCAAATGAGATATTTTTATATTTAAAAAAGAAAAATTTAACAGTAGAATCAATATAATACTAGAATAATATATAAACATGAATGAGATCAGTCTTTTGTTGGTATTTGTCAAAAACAAAATCTTGTTCTTGTTGATCACGGACCCATCTTGCCTATATCTAATCTAACGTGAAGAGAATAATGATTGTTACATTCTCCGGCACAGTAGGAGAGTTTATATGTCTTATGAGTACACATGACTTGCCGCTGAAAAGTTCATTTCCCTTCTCTCTCTCTCTCTTTTTCTTTACTCCAGATGACCCGTTTTCTCAGCAATCTAGACACATGATGTGTGTCAATAGACGACAATTGTGTTAGATTAGAAACGATAACTTAAAGAAATATATATACATAAGAGTTTTTCTTTTGTTAAATAGTAAGAAGAAGTATTATTCTTTTTTTTTTTCACAATCAATTGTTAAAGAAAAAAAAAAAAGACTCGATATCTAGATCATTTCCGATCGGAATCAAAGTTTATTATGTTTAGAAATGATCGTTTGTCATCATTTAAAAAGAAAAATAATCAAATATTCAAAGATATGTCTATGCCGACATATATATATATACCTATTGGCAAAATAATTTCTTTTAAACATAATCGAACAAGAAATAGAAAGGTGAGAAGTTTGTCTTTTCTTGAGTTTAATGATTATGTTACATTGATTTATAACGGAAAGAGAGAATAGACGTAAACACTTATTATGTATTCATTTGAACATTTATTATAAAAACAAGTAGGTAAAACTTGAAATTTTCTGACAACATATGATTAATAAAATAGAAACATCATTGGCTATTTAATTATTTTCATGTATTATAGACAAATTAAAGAAAAAAGAAAAATCTATTCGATTTTTCTTCATGATAAAACAACATTTAGATTGATAATAATAGCAATTGTGTTCATCAAGTGTGTCTCTTATTCATTCACTTACTATACAATAAACCTTTTCTTTTTTACTCTAATTGGTCTCATTTGTGAGTACAAGTAAAAAGTATATATATATATATTGTTGAATAAAAAAAAACTATAAAAAAAAAAAAGAAAGAGAAATAGTTGTGCATAAGCTTAATAGAAGACAAATTGAATTCAATTAGAAACTGCTGTGACATACTTGGTCATCACTGTTAGTGAACCCTCTGGCTAACCGACATGCATACATCCCTCAAGATCAACAAACGAATCTGCCGCTCGATTACACTCACTTGAACACTTGTCCATCACTTGTCTTTTTTTTTTTTTTTATATTTATATGCTACATATCCATTGCAATGATCAATTTAATGTACTTGATATGAACAATAATAACAAATGTTCAACTAAATTGCAAAAGAAAAAGAAAAAGAAAAACTAAAATTTATTCTTTATAATTCATATAAACAATAGAAAAGAATTCTTTATATAAATAAATGAAACTATCCGATTGAAATTTTGTATAGAACATATAAAATGTTAATTGTTGTTCTTATTGAGATTAAAATTTAATAACAAACTTGGAATATTTTCAAGAGAGAAATTGAACATGATTTTTTTTTGTTTTTGTTTTTAATCTTTATAATCGTACTCGAATAAAGTCAAAACAAACATGGAATCGGTACAGATTTCAGATCAGGCGGTAACCGATCTAATCCATTTATTTTTCTGCTTTTATTAGATAAACTTGTGCGGCGAACTTCTTTTTTTTTTTTCATTCCGGATGTTGATCACATCAAATAAGATTCTCTAATGATGGAAATGGTACGAATTTTAAACAAAATAATCTGTTGATAAATGGACTAGTTCAGTCTGACCTGATTTATTCAAATCTGATCCATCTTTGAGTCAATCTTCACTTTTATCTTTAACTCAAAAATCTTACGCTAAATTGTTTTATAACTATAAAAGAAGATCCAAATAAATCTATCGATTAAATAATCACATATGAATTATTACTTACATACATGAAATTTTTTCATAAGCGTTATAGTTCCTAAGAATAATAAACATATATGTTTAATGATAAATTTAATTAATACAAGACATAAGCAAAAAAAAAAGAATATACTTAAAAATCATTTTCACATGTGTAGAAAAAGAAAATGTTAAATAAATTCTATGCTGTTTCTATGGTATTTTTATTAATTTGAACAATAACTTTTGTTGGTATATCTCCATGATATCGTTTTTTTGCATCTTCAACAACATGGCCAATATTTTTAACAACTTTATTTAAACTACGTTCACGTGATCTTGGTGACATTTGTCTTCCTGTTACAAGACGTTCAGGCATTTCAATAGTAATATTATCTTTATTTGGTTTATTTTCTAATCCATCTCCTGATGAATTTGATCTATGAATTATTTGTTGTTGAGTATATGATTTATTTAGTACTGGTGTCATTAATGATGATCGACTATGAACAATATTTGAAGTAGATCTTGTCATCATTTGTATTTTTGATAATGAATGATTATTTTCAACTAATTTCATATAATCACGTGGAATATATAAATGAGCATTTGGATGTGATGGAGGTATAAGTGCAAATGCTCGACCCCCAATATGTTGATTATTATCATCATTATTATTATATGTAAAATATCCATCACGTGCACCAATACATCCAAGTACGATATATAAAAAAAGTAAAGCAACAATAACTAAAATTCCACCAACTACAATACCAACAATTTTTGGAATAGTATTATTTGATGAATCTAGAATAAAATAAAATTTTAACTTTTAAATAATTGAATATAATTTAGTAAAATTACCCGTAATAAGAAAATAAGTACTAACACCAGCACCAGCTAAACCAATTAGAATAATAATAAAACAAATAATTATAATTAAACATATATGTCTTGATAAACAACTAAGACATCCATGCGATTGAGATGTTTTTAATAAATTTTCAGTTGATTGATCATCCTATTGTTTTAATAAATATTTTTCGTATATTTATTTATTTATATAAATATATACATACCCTTCTACCATGAAATCGTGTTTTTTTTATAGATTTCGAACGTTTTACTGCCGATCTTGTAGATTCTTCTTTTACATATGAATTTTCAATAACAGCAATGGATTGTTCATCAGGATTAATAAGTACAATAGATTTAGCTGATTTAGTTCTTGCACTAGCTGTTTTTTTTCGTCGAAAAATTTTTGAAGTTACTGTTCGAGAATTTTGTATTGCTTGTTGTTCAGGTTCAATTGTAACAGGACATGATAGATTATCTAATTCATTCGTATTCGTTAATGAATATAATGTGACAAAACTTTGTTGATGATCAGTATCTATAGAAAAAAATAAATAAACAATAGATTTTGAGAGATATCATGGAAAAGAAATGTTTACCTTGAAGTTCTTCTTCTTTTACAGTTGGTGGACGCGTAAGATTTGTAGATGATGCTGAACGTGTACGATTTGCAGATGGTGCTTGATGTATACGATTTGCAGATGGTACTTGACGTAGACGATTTGCAGATGGTAGTTGACGTAGATGATTTGCAGATGGTACTTGACGTGTAGAGTTTAAACGAATTGGGCTTGGTGTTCGAACTTTTGATCTTGAACGTTTAAGATATGGTACATAACGTTGAGTGTTTTCAATTTGTGTAGGTGATGTTAAGCGTTTCGAAGTTTTTGAATCTAGAGATGGTGAAGAACGTGGACTTGGTGATCGAGGTTGATCAGACGCAGTGATAATATCTTTAGTAGGAGTAAGTGCACGTGTTTGTTCTAAAGTATTAGTGGGTATATGTGTATGGTCTAAAGTATTAGTAGGTGTACGTATTTGTTCTAAAGGAGTAGTAGGTAATGGCTCTTGAATTGTTTGATAGAATTCAACTGGTCTTAATGAATCAGGTGCTATAGGTCGTCGAATGAGATACACGGATTTATTCTAAAATTTTTTCTTTTATATAGAATAAAATATTTGATTGATAATAAAAAATACTTACACCATCACTAATTGCTGGAGGAATTTCGACAGAATTAGATCTTCCAAGTTCACCTAAATCAACTGATCCTTGATCGTTTTGATAATGTTTTGTATTTCGTATAACAACGATACGTAGTGCTGGAGGTACAACTTCTGTACGTGGTGTTGTTACATCAGCCGACTGAACTGTTGTCGGTGGTGGTAGTGGTAATGTTGATGGTTGTGAAGTTTTCGATGAAATATTAGATCCAGATTCATTTGCTGGAATAAAATAACTTTCAGACTCTTTATTAGGTGAACGAAGGACAAAACGTTTGCCATCAATAGTATTTCTTGCAGCCATTCAAGGCAACGATCACCTATAATTCATACCAACACATACATAAATATATTCAAAACAATGTTTTGTTTGTCGTCATTCACTTTAACGTCGCCACGCGTATGCTTCATTAATGCCATTTTTTTTTCTCATAATGTTGGAAGTAACTCATGTTCATACATATAATACAGGGCGAATAATATTAGTTTTTTTTCTTCTTAGTTCTACAAATTTAGTAATTGCTCATTTGTTTTTCTGCTATTGTTTTAATTATAGTGAAAACAAAAAAATCAAATGAAAGTATAAATATATTGATTTTATTTCAAACAAAGCATATTGCTATCTGCTTTTTATGTGCAGATTTCTCATTGATAAGACATTACAGATTATATACCATTTAAACAAATTATATTTTGATACATAACAGTATTTTATTGGTACATTTATTATTGATTATTAACGAAACACTAATATTATCAAATCATGTATTATTTAACAAAGAAAATAAGTAAACACTTAAAAAAACTCGATAACAACAATGTAAAAATAATAATTGAAAAAAGAAAAAAAAAATAATTTTGTGTTTTATTTGACTCTTTTTGCTGAATAGTAAATTGTGTACAAAAGAAAAAGTCAAGAAATGCATAAAAATCTCGATACTTTCATCGACAGATAGATGTATATTTTTGTAAAATATGATTTAAAAGAAGTGTTGAAGTATATTGAGTATAGCAAAAATTTTGCAATATTTTTTATTTTGCATGTATCTCTGTTTAGAAACATAATAAAACGGTGATCTTTTTTTTTTATGAAAAAGATGTGCCATTCAATGTTCTACTTAGATCAGAAGACCAAAATTTTTATAGATTTTTTTCGAAATCTAATACACTGAAAACAATGAACAAATATGTCTATCATCGTATTATTTTCTACAAGGAAAAAAAAGATAAAGTCGAAATTTTTATGAATTTTATTCATTCATTTTGACTATAATGTTTGGAATCAATTAGAAACTTAGTGTGATCTTTAAAATCTGAGGATTATTACTCATTTGCATCTAAAATACAAGTGAAAAATCGCGTCTATCTCAATTGATCTGAATGCTTCGCCCGAAGATAAAGCGTTTTTTCCTGCGTTGCTCTCAAATAAATAAGCTAAAAACACTGTGGTCAATCCACAAATCTGCTAGAGTCAACTGCCTCGATTGTTGAACAAAATAATACAATGAGAACTTGATTTTATCTGAAAAATGATGAAAATACATTGACGAGAAATCGGTACTAATCTTGTAGGAAGTATTGATAGAGTGATGAACATTTTAGCTTTTTTACAATACCTGAAACAGTCCATTTTATTTAACACTGATTCGATTGTTTCTTGTGAGGAATAACATGATGACAGATATGTTCATTATTAGCGATCTATTGAAGTTTCGAAAACAGCCATAAAGATTTGGTCTTGTGATCCGAGTAGAATATTTAATGAGGAATATTTTTTTAAAAAAACTTGGTATATAGCGGAAAGTTGCATCTTCAAAAACCATGACGAACGAGATCGACAGTTCATCACAAACCTGGTATTAATAACATTACTTTATAATATATGAACTACTTCCCTATTACATTTCTAAAGGATTAAGTAAAAGAATGGCGAAATGGGTCCCACAATAGATGAAATAAAATAATCGTTCTGCAATTAGGAACAGCAGCTATATTGTGTTTTACATAGTAATCGCGGAGGAATTACACAAACCACTTTATTAAACACTGTATGAATCGTTTTCACTATTCTGCTTTCTAAGGCATTTCCTTCAAATTTTTCACAATGTTATAAATGTTATCGGCCCCGTCTAATGGAATGTTTATGAGCAACCAATTTTCATGGTTTCAACGTTTCAGAAATATGACTTCGAAAGTTTCCAAATGACAAATTTTTAGTCATTATCCAAAAATCCTATTCTGAATTTTGACATTTTCCATAGAATTTAGTCCATGTTATTTTCCTACCTGTATTAATAACCTTATATGAATTGTGTAGTTTTTCGGTTGTGCTAAACAAGAACTTTAAATAAGGAAATATTAATGCTATCAATTTTTGAAAAAAAAATTATATCTTTATTGAAGGAAGCCATGTAAATCAAAGATGGATGTTATTTAATATTATTTGTATATACGGTAGTGGTAAATATCAAAAGTAGGTAATAAAAAAGGCCCATTGATCGACGAGGAATATTATCTGATCAAATTATTTTTCTAGCACAAAAATACAAGATGAACTTTCTACTTGAAGTGCATTGTGAGATCTCTGCCATTACTTCCTTGTCTAGATATGTATTTTCAATCATCAATATTACGACGATTAAAGCGAATAAGGATATGAGAAACACTACAATGAGACCGTTTGTTTGTATTATTAAGACATATTCATACTATGAGAACTGGATAGTTTCAAAGAAAATAGCCCTTATTGTTAGTTTATCGTTGCATGTTTCGAACAGTGCATCATTCTATCATAGACTAGTGTCAACGGGACAAGTGCTATTATTGAAAGGTAATAAGTTAATAAAAAGTGAATTTTGGACTCATTGTCACCCTTATAGTCCTAGTCTCTATGCTATTTCGTTGCAATACTATACCAAAAAAGAAAATAAATGTTCATATGGAATTTGTTTCATAGAGAACAAGCAATGAATTTAACCTGCATTAAGAAAAAGTTCATTTTTTTATGTCAGAAATAAAAATAAAAGTTGTTAGTGCAATTACTGTAGAATTAAAATGTCATTTAGAAAAGGAGGCTAAAGGCAGATGTCTTAAATTCTGTCTTCTTTCATAAGAATTCCACAGAAGGAATTAATGCAATGGCTAAATCTGCCACAGCTTGTGATGAACGATAGACATATGTTAAACTTTCAGTCACAATTCGTGGCAAAAAAGGGCGTCAAATATTTCTACTTTCATACTTCAATAACAGCTTTATTTTTTTCAAATGAATTATTAATCGATTTGTTAGAATTTGAATATGGTGACAATTTTATTTCTTTGGTTTTTGTCAATTTATTAATGCATACATATAGTACAAATGAATTTTAACACTTCCAAGATCAACAAAAAGAATCAGTTTGTTTATTTTATTGACAAACCAATGAATCGTATAAAACAAATAGAAACCAATAAAAAGGAAAAAAAAAAAGGTATATTTTACTTCTAAAACTACGGCATTAATCAACTGGTTTTGGTCGTGCAATGGAACGTCGCATAAGATAAATTGATTTATTCTAAAAAATACTCTTATGTATAAAACCAAAAAAAAAACTCATTAATCAAAAATACAATACTTACTCCATCAGTAAGTATTGGAAGAATTCTTGGTGAATCAGGTTGTCCAAAATTACCTATATCAACTGGTCCTCCCTTAACTTGAGGATTATTTGAATTACGTACAACAACGACACGTCGTGCCGGTGTTATTTCTGTACGTGGTGTATTCATATTGATTGATGTTGTTTGTGGTGTTGGTGAAAGTTTCATCGGTGATGAAGATTGTAGTACTTTTGTTGATGGGAATGTCTGTGATTCTATGATTTTTGATGAAATACGAGATCTAGATTCATTTTTTGGTATTAAATAAGCTTGATTATTTTTATCAGGCGAACGATAAACAAACCGTTTGAATTCTGTAGGATTTCTTGTAGCCATTCAAAGTAGCAATTACTTATTTTTTATTCAAATATATATATTTGTTGTCTCGTTTACTTCAACGTTGTCATGTGCACATTTTATTAAAAGACATTTTCGTAATAGTCTGAACGACGTTAACATATTTTGATGCAGAACATGAAAAAAAAATCTTTAAAATTTTCTTTTTCTTTTAAAAGAAAAACACAGAAAGAAAGAAAAACTTTTGACTTTCTCGATTAATTTCAACATACTCCATTTATTCGTGTTTTGTTTATGAAGTAAATAAATTTTGAAGACTTTATTCATTTACAAATGTTTGTATTTTCAAGGCATATGACGGAAAAATATTGAAAGTATAAGAAGTGAAAAATTTGTTACTTTTTTTTTTCTTAAATGTAACTTTTGTTTTCTATTATATTATTATTTTAAATTTTCTGACAAAAAACATAAGAAAGATTATCAAAATCAAAAACAAATATCTAAATTAACTATATACAGATGTGTGACGATGAGTGGACAGTCACAGCTTTCTACTTTAAGAAAAAATTTCATTTTTTTTCGACAAAAATCGTTACTTTTATTTTAAAAAAAAAAGCAATTTTTGCCTTCCAGTCTCTACAATACATTTTTTTTTCACCATATTCCTGAATTTACATAAAACATTCTGTTCTTATCTCAGTTGTTGTATATGCCCATTTTTACCATCAATATATGTAAAAAAAATTTGACTATTTGAGTTCACATTCTAGATGTTCGGACCCCGACAAAATCAGTTCTGCATTAAGTTTGAATTATTTAAAATGCAATTAACGAATGGCTTTCTAACCTTTTGATAAATAAAAACCAGTAAATTTAGGACTGATTACACGTATGGTGATGTTGCTTAAACTCTAGTAGAATTGTTGAATGAAAATACATGCAGGAAAAACTTTAACTTGTTTTTGCGCATATTACTAACGAATGAAATAGCTCATGTATAAGATTTTGTTTACTTCTCCTTTCTTTGTGATAATAGAAACAAGAATATTAGAACTAAATTTGACATTCTTCAAACAAATTAGACTTCTCTTAAACGATAATTGTTTTCTAGAATTTTCAAGACGTCATGCTGAAAATAGAAATTAACAGAAAATTTATATTCTACAGGGTGATCAGTTTATTTTCGAACGATTTTCGTAGACTTATTCTTCCTCAGCAACTGATTCAGATCTGATGAATCTCATATCAATGTATCCCACAAAGACTGTACATACTGCTCTAATAATCAGATTTTGTACAGAAGGATGTTTTGTAATAAAATACTGGACTAATTTTGAAGAGGTCATTTTCAAGTTTTTTAAAATGAACATTTCGTATTATTCCTCCATACTATCATCTTTTGACCTCAGACATATGTCACAGGTACATCCACTATTAGTGCATCTATGCTAAAAGTTTCAACAATAAAGAACGAGAATTCATAGAGAAATCAGTAAGTGTTTCAAATATATAGTTGAAGCTAAACATATGGCAAGGCTTATCCTGTTACCATTTCTAGTTTAATTTAAAGTCTGAAACAGCAGTTAACTGTATTTTAGAATTATCTACACGTGAGAGTAGGTCAGGCGTCTATAACCATCTTGTAAAGTTTTGAATTAAACCAGAAATAGTAACAGAATAAGCCTTGCAATGTGTTTCGCTTCAACTATATATTTGAAAAACTTCCTGATTTCTCTATGAATTCTCGTTCTTTATTGCTGAAACTCTTAGCATACATGCACTAATAGTGGATGCACCTGTGACATTTGTCTGAGGTCAAAAGATGATAGTATGGAGAAATAATCGAAAAAGTTCATTCCTGGTGGCACCTGCAAATATGCTTGTTCTCAAAAATGTTAAAATGACCTTTTCAAAATTATCTAGTGTTTTATCACAAAACATTCTTCTATACAAAATCTGATTATTAGAGCAGTATGTACAGTCTTTGTGGGATACATTGATATGAGATTCATCAGAGCTGAATCAGTTGCTGAGGAAGAATAAGTCTACGAAAATCGTTTGAAAATAAACTGATCACCCTGTATATATATATAGTTTTCTTAGGTATTATTTTAGTCATGATTATCTTCATGTTAAGTTCTTTTTCAATATTTTTCATATTCAAAAACAAAAAAGATTCTTGCTTAAAACATCAAGAATTTGTTAAAAATAAATATTTCTCTATTTTTTTTAAATAATAATGAGTATACTACAGAAAATTAAGTCAAAAATAAAACAATAAAAGTCTTTAAAAACATTCTTCATTCCATCGTATACATGAAAATGGATTATATTATCAAATCAAATAGACGATTCATTCAACCCAGAAAAATAACACAGCGTGCATACTATTATTTCAAGCACTTTTTCATATCTTACAGGATCATGAATTATTTCGATTTATAATAACAGCAGAAATGAATTGAATCCATTTGATAGGATCTTTTACGACAAGACGAATATATTGCCTTGAATTATACATTTTTGTTCTTCAAAACACCAGTTCCACAATATTATATATCAACCAAATAACAGAAATACAAAAAAAAAAAAGAAAATTTAGAGTTAAAAGATATAATCTTACTCGGTGATTAGTTGGTGGTATCGGTTTGCATCGTCACTGTTGAAGCAGTGTTATTATCATATGTTGGGGAGGAGCTTTAAAAAAAAAAAAGAAAACTTTGTTTTAAATATGTCAGAATAAGATTTTCTTTTTGTTTCTTTCCGAAAATAATATAAACAATAAAAAAAAAAAATAAATAATTTTTTCCTACATTGAGATATGCGTAGTTTCTTCATTATCTGAAATATGATTGCCAGAGTTTGAGATGTCATCTATTGTTGACCAGGTGCCACTATGAACAGTTGTTCCTAGATGATGTTATCATTCAGAAAAAACATAATAATAAATTACTTATATAATGATTCTGTGAACTAAAGTTTTGTAGTGGATTCTGCTCCTGCTAATATTCAAAATATCATTAATAAATAGAAAATATTTCAAACTCTACAATTAAAAAAGAAGTAGTATGTCAGATGCATTACCAAGTGGACTGATTCCAACCTGTCTGTCATATGCGTGTGTGTTTTAGTTGATTCAGTCCTAGATCATGGCAATGCATCCATAGCAACACTACTTTCTGACATAGGCAAAAAAAAATCAAAAAGTTGTGCTTCGATAATTTTTAGAAACATCTATCCAAACTCAATAGCCGAGGCTAGCAATATTAAATAAATCCGTATATCTACGTATATAATTACCAGTCGTTGTACCTAGTGTTCCATTGGATGGGCCTACGGTTGTGAGGAGCGTCGTATTAGGTGCGCTGACTGTTGTCTGTACTGTTTCATTTGATCCACCGAATGTTGAATGGAACGTTTCACCCAATGTACTAACTGTTGTAGAATGTGTCGTATCAGCTGCCCTGACTGTTGTTTGAACTGTTTCATTGGATGCACTAATTGTTGAATGGAACATTTCACCAGATGTACTAACTGTTGCTTGTAAGGTTCGATTAGATGTACTGACTGTTGTAAAGAACGTTGTATTAGCTGCACTGATTGTTGTCTGTACTGTCTCATTGGATCCACTAGGTG